GGTCTCAGTCGTGCTGCTTCTCGGAGGCAAAGGCGCTGGCTTTCTGGGCGAAGGTCTCAGCCACCAGCAGCGGGAAAACCAGGGAGGCGTCGGCGTAAACCTGCCACCGGGAGAGCGACCAGGGACATGAGTGCAGGCACCCAGATCTCCACCCCCGCGTCCCCCAATCCCTCCAGCTCCCCAACCCCCAAACACAGCCACCCTCCAGATCTCCATGCCCACCTTCACGGGCTTGGCGTCCATGCGGATCTTCCCCCAGGACACCGCCTCGTCTGGCCGGGCCCCCGAGTCGGAGCCGTCGAACTCCTGTGCCGTGTTAACGTAGACGGCGTAGTCGGCCCCGTTTCTCTGCAAGGCGGAGAGGGAGCGTGACCCCAGGGTGGGTTTCTCCCAGCCCCCTCCCCAAGCAGGACAGGGGGAGGGAATGTGCAGTTTGAGGTGCTCAATTTAATCCCCCAAATGAATGTTGGACCTAAAGCTATCGCAGGGCTCTTAGATACACCTGGGTTAACACACACGAGCCCAGCCGGGGGGGAGAGCAGCCAGGCAGGCCGGCCCACCTCAGCCCAGCCAGCAGGGACACACCCACCATCCCAGCCCGAGCCCTCCCTCACCATCAGGTTGGCATTGGCGATGTGGTGTTTGACCAAGCCCCCTCCCAGGATGATCATGCCCGTCTTCTTGGCGAAGATGGCCTGGGTGTTGATCAGCCGGAGATCTGCCGAGAGAAAGAGACCACGGTGACCCCCTTCTTCCTGCCGCCTGCTCCCACCCAGGAAGAGGACCCAGGAGTCCTGCCCCGCCCCCGCCTTAACCATTAAATCCCACTGCCCTCCCCGAGCTGGGCTAGAACCCAGGAGCCCCTCTGCGCCTTGTCTGGGGTGGGGGGCCTCAGCAAGGGGACAATCTGTACGCTCTGCGGTAATGCAGGCAGGGTTCCCTAGAGCTCGTTTTGAAGGGGGTCCCCCCCACACACTAGGAATCCCCCCAGCACTGCAGGCATTGGGCCTGCGATTCCTGTCCAGTCTAAGCCAGGGGGCTGAGCAATCAGGATGCTGCAGAGAAAGGCCCATGCCTGGGGGGAAGGAGACAATCACCTTCCACAATGTCCAGCACCAAACCGGGGTTCTTGTAGGAGTGGAAGAAGATCATGTCCCCCAGGGAGCCGTCCGTCAGGGCCGGGCTCAGCACCGGGATGTTGTTCTGCAAAGGGGCACATGAGTGGGGCAGGGAGCGTGGGGCAGGGCAGAGGAGACGGGAGGGGGAGTTTGGGTTAGTTCCCCCTGTGGCAATTGATTGGTTGGGCTGAGGGTAGAACACCACCCTTTTGGGGAGGCGGGGGGGGAGAGTCTCCCTCAAAGTAGCATTTGTGGAGGAGCAGGGCCACTATATTATGGTAGAGCCTAGAACCCCCCTCCTCCCCCGACTGAGATCAGGGCCCCTGTTGTGTCAGGTGCTGCATGGACATATAGCAAGAGATGGGAGAGATTTGTTCCCCCCGTGATGGGGGGCGGGCGCTGCGGATTGGCCCCCCATACGGAAGGGCTGAAGCCCCGGGGAACAAGCTGCCGATCTCCCCCCAGACCGGGTGGAACCCAGGGGGTGTGGCCGATTTCTGAGTCATTATCTAGCCTGCTCTTAAAGGGGCAGCACTCCAACCAGCTGGTCACCCAGG